AATCCTCACTCCACGCATCCATGCGTCACGCGTCTTTGGTAGCGCATACTATGGGGGCTATATTTGGGGTGGCGTGTTTTACAGCGCTTTGCCAACAGCGCCAACCCACTGAAGTCTAGATTGCGAGGGAGGGTGACTATCGGGGTGGGGGGGTGTTTGTTTTGTCTCGCGACGTATGAAAGCGGCAACAGGAAGCTGACGATGGAGTCCGTCCTGTTCATGATCTTGGCTCCCAGGTACTTCATCTCCGCTTTTTTGTCTTGTGTGTTGCTGGCGGTTTGGCGTCGTTTTTATTCCACGTGACTGCTCGAGTCGTGGAGACGTCGACAAAGTCATCGAGATTTTGTGGGCACGACCGTCTGCAGACCTCTACCGTACGTCCGCCCGTCGGAGCGTGACACAGTCCAGGAAGGAGCGCTTGCTTCGTCAATCGGCAGAGCCTCCCTATGACTTGCGGCCACGCAGACCACAACACTCCAGCGACTCACGCAGTCATTTTGCACCATTCCAACCATCCCGACACACCGCACAGAAAGGCGTCAGTCAGTGCTACTCCTACCCCAAGATTCCATACGACGACGACGACCTCACACACGTCCTGTACCGCTCCTGCGTACCACATACTGTCTTGTATCTATGCACGAAATACTGTCTTGTAGGGTTCGAGCTGTTCTGCACCGAAAGTCGCCAGTCAGTACTACTCCTACGCCAAGATTCTGTGACGACGACGACCTCGCGAACACGTCCTGTACTTGCGTACCCGCATGGTGTCTACGTACGATATTCTCTTTTATTGTTTACTAGGATTCGAGCTGTTCTGCGACCTATGCCTGGCGGACTGCCTGGCCACGGGGGGCGCCGCCAGCCGCGTGGTGATCCAGCTCAAGGGACACCCGACCTTCGTGTCCGACGCCATGGCCAAGGACATGATGGCCATGGTCGACCTCCTGGCGGACCTCGACGCGTCCGAGTTCCCCAGGTGAGAAGACAAGACAGTCAGACAGACAGACAGACAGACAGACAGACAGACAGACACAGGTACCGGAGTCACGCCAAATAACAAGTCGCTCTCTCGTTCATTGATCTGAAGTTTGACTTCAAACGGCAACTGCGACTACGAACTTCAGCCCCCCCTCCGTTTGATTTGTTGCAACAGTGGTGGAGTATTACATGACGGAAAAGGTACTGATCAAGAGTCTTGGTGGCCTTCATGCGGAAGCTGGGTGCCTTGAATGGTGTAATATTAAAGCTTTTCGAATCACTGGTTTCATGTTGGTAGCTGTTGGTAGCTGTTGGTAGCTGTTGGTAGCTGCTGCAGTGTTGTTGTGGTTGGTTTTCACGTAGTTCAAACTGTCACGCGTTGACGGTGGCCGTGTTAAACGCCGACCGACCAACCTCGACGACTTGTGAAATATTTGCCTTTTTTTCCCTCCGATACAAGCGGCCAGAAAGAGAAACATAATGCGAGCAGCAGCAAGTAACCTTTCTTGTTCCTGGTCATCGTCGCTCGGACCATGACCAGCGCGAAGGCGGTAGGGGAGAGGTGGAAGAAGCTGATCGCTGACGGGAAGTGGGAGCTGCGGGAAGACTTCTTCTGGGCGCAGCCGAGGCCGCTGTGGGAGATGCCCGCGCGAATCCGGAAGGTCAGTGTTTGCTTTTGTCCTATTGTTTTGGCGTGATGGTGTACAATATGGGTTTTGTTCATTTTTGATTTGACGAAAAAGAGCCTGTGACGTAGCGCCTGCTTTCTTTTGTCCACCAGCGGCGTTCACCTCCCGAAAAGACTATATTGACAGAAAAGAAACAACAGCAGTGATGCCGAGCCACGAAAACGGAGCTCAACAGGTACATGGCCAGCATTAGTTGTTTTTGTATTTTTTTTTTCCATCCCGCTTCTTCTGGTCGTCGGCCCTTCAACCTTTCGGTGAAAATTTTGGATCCACCGGCCGGGGTCACCCCATTTTGAACAGGTTGAGGTAGGAAGTGGAACGGGACGGCGCGGTGGGCTGTGATTTTTTGGCCCAAGAGGAAAGGGGGATCACTGGAGATAACAATGTGCCAAATAGCGACGACGATCGGCGAGGCCGTGGTCTATTGGTTATGTGCGGGGGCTACACGTTTAACCTGGTCTGCTTAGGGAGGGGCGTCGGGCCCCCGGGGGGGGGCTTGCAATGGCCCCCTTCATTCTAGTGGTACCTGGTTTTCCATCCTACACCTTCGCTCTTATTCCCTCCATTCATGTCCCTCCCACTGTACACTGTCCACCCGCATGTTTTGGTAGTCATACGGTACAGAATGCTGTCGCTACGTGCTGCCCCTCCTCCTGCCGCTGCCGCTAAATGCCTCTGCCGCCGCTGCTGTTCCTCTACGAAAAGGATTTCCGAGACGAGAGCTCGATGGTTTTCGTGAAGGGGGACGCCAACTACCGGCGCTTGATCGGGGATAGAATGTGGCCCACGGACACCCCGTTCTCGGACGTGGCTGGCTACTTCCCCACCAGGCTGTGCGCGCTGAGGACGCTGAAGGCGGAGCTGGGGTAAGCTAGCAGAGACCCATCCGTCGACATGTTGTTGATGTTCGTGTTGTTGTTGTTGGTGGTGTTGTTGTTGTTGTCGTCGTCGTCGTTGTTGTTGTTGTTGTTGTTGTTGTCGTCGTCGTTTGAGCTACTCACTCATCGGCACCTTAAGCAAAAATTGACGCCTGTCACGGGGCCGATGGTGCAGTTTTTTCCTTGTCTATGACGTCGAGTGATCTAACGTTGTCCTTTTTGTCCTAGAGACGCGGTTCGGATGGATCTCACTACCGTTGAACTTGTATTAGCATCTCAACCCAATTGACCCTTGTTCTTGTGTGGCGGATCATTTCCCACAACATTCGGCCTTTCGTGACGCATCATTTCCAACAATATGCACACGCGCCGGGGGCGGGGGGGCTCCGCGACTGCCTCGGCCGATGCAGGTGCGGGATGGCGAAAGAAGGGACCGAGCGCGCCGCCCGAAGTCACGAAGATTGGATGGTGAATGGCCGCTACGGGTGCATACAGCTCTTCGACCCGGCCTCGGATTGAACCCGTTGGTTGACGGTTGGTTTGGGCATACAATAGCGCCTCATTATGTATCAATTGAGCAATGAACATTAGTTAGAAACACAGATTGTGCCCGTCGGTACGCGTGTCGCCGTCAGAATGACGGAGTATATCTACGAAGCCATGTATCTAGAGTCAGCAGTACGAGAGGCACAGCGGTCCGCGTTTTTTACAACAATCTTATCGTAGGGACACTTCACTTCTCGCGTTAAGCTCGTTTTTTTGTCTCAAGAGAGCAGGATAGTAAGATCTACTCTACACGTGCTGGAAATGACGTCCATTCGAGGAGAGTTCTCTGCTGCTGCAGTTGTCGCACAACGCACAGCAGCCAGACGGCAGTAACTGCTGCTGCTGCTGCTGCTGCTGCTGCTGCACCATGTCTGCGGATGGGTATGGATGCGCTCCTCCCAACAATCTAGCACGACTTGTGAAGGAGACCAAGCCCTCACGATGAAAAACTGCTGCATGTAGCATGCCTGCGTTGTTTTCACCTTCAATGCACAAGAGCGCCTTCATGGGCAGTGGGCGATGTGTGGGGTTTTGTGACGCGGTCGCGACGATGGTGATGCCAGCCAGCGCCGCAGACGTTGCTATGCACATCCGTACCATGAGTTTCGGCGGACAAAGTCATTTGTCGGGGAGCGCCCGGGCCTTGTTGGCGACGTCGAAGCCGAGAGGCGATTGTAGCGTGGCTTTGTGTAGCGGACGACCCACCCACCCGTGTTATTGGAAGACGAGGGAGCTTCGGAAAGTGAAGACTGTTGGGCTCAGGAGCGGGAGGGGGGGAGGCCGCCAAAAGCAGTACCTGATTTGTGGAGGAAGTCGTCGTTGTGTTCGTGGAGTGGCACACTCCCTTCCTTGGTTGAAGAGAGTACCCGCGCGGTGGTCTAGAACGATGGAGTCTCATTAGCACTAGCCTATTGCCCTGAAGTGATTGCCAGCTCCGAGTAGGTTGATGGTCCTGCCAAAACGAGACTAGCCAACTGGATTCTCGTGGCAACAAAATGTCGGAAGTGATGAGCCTCTGGTACTACACAGCAGTGTTACACGGGATATTGGGCCAACAGGCCACGGCTTGCCGGCCGGGCTGCCCACCGTTTCGATGTGTGCGGCGGACTTAACAACGCGCTCATTGGCCCGGGCGGTGCCTTGAGTTTTGTTCCCCTTGAATCGGCTTGTCTCCCACCGGCAGCACCTGACGCCACGCATGACACGCCATGTTCGTGCCCTGTCAAGCACTATCCTCCCTCTCCGTCCCTCAAGTGATGCCCAGTTCACGTGTTTCATTACCAAAGAAAAACAAGTGCTCTCTTGTTTATGGCGGGTACACTCCTTTTCTGCTTTTTCGTGAAAACCGTCCACCATTACTGGTACACCAGTACCCCCCGTCCTGTCCGGAGCCCTTCCACTCGGAGCGTGTTCTCCCTTCCGTCTCCAGGCTTCCTTGGAGCTGGGCACCACAATGACACGGCCGCTACATCGAGTCTACTTGGGCCCCCTGGGATCGCCTTTGGTTGTACTCCGCGAGGAAGTCGAGCAATCCGGAGTGCTCTGATGCTAGTGGTATTAGACTAGTTCGTTGTAGCGGCAGCCCTCCGCAGGGCCCTGTCAATCGTCCGCCTCGCCGACCTGAGCTGGAGGTCGAGGTGCCCGTTCACGTCGCACCTTGACTCCGTCACAACTATCATCTCCGCTCTGCTTCTTCAGTATTGGTTTTCGCGAGAGGGCATCCGGAATGGGAGGGGGGGGGGGGGGGNGGGGGGGGGGGGGGGGGGGGGGGGGAGGCCGAGAGGGAGATGACGTACTATCTATCGTCTACTCGCAACAAAGAACAAAACACGGGCTCCAACATGACGTCGTTGTAATTTGCTCGTGGGTTACAGCGTAAACGCCAAGCTCTTAGGGTTGTAGACAGGAGAAACGAGGTCCAGCATCCTTAGGAACCCACCCGAAGGAAGGGTGCCGCCGGTCATGCCGCCTGTTCCACTCCGCTGCTTCTCCGTTCAAGCATCAGACAGACTCTTCTCAGTACCACATCACTTTCCCAGGCCCTCCCAACGCCTCAATGTAATGGTCGCCAATTATTAGGCTCATTGATGAGTGTGCTCTAACGTCTGGTCTACCGTACCTGGCTGACCTCGATCGAGGTTTGTTAGCATGCCCTCCCATGTGACCGTACTTTCGCAGGCACCGTATGCACCGGCAGGTGGTGGGACTGGGGCGCGGTGATGGGCCTGGGATGGTTATTTCATGTTGATTTCACAGGTGCGGGTGGCGCACAGTAGTCTATTAGGAATGGTTTGGCGTGTTGCGAAAACTACGCAACTCGCACTATTATTTTCGTCGGGCGATTTTTTTGCAGTGCATCGCGACAGCTCTTTGTTGATTACAGAAGAAGAACTCATTCAACTCCGTGACAGCTTGGCGGTACAAGAAAAATGAAAGAGACATCTCGAATGGTGGCGCGAGAGTCGATTCAGCGATGTACAGCAGTAGTAGCGGAAGATGACTATATTGTGTCAGTGTGCGCCAGGCAGAGCTTTCTGTCGGCACCACAGAGCGCACGTACATGCCGCGCTCCTCTCCGTCGAGGATGGACTTGGAGAGGGATTACTGGCAAGCTCATCCTGCTTCCAGCGGTGAAACGCTTGGTCTTGCAAGTCCAGAGTATGTGCGCCCCAGAGTCGCATCACCGTAGCTACTCGGGCCCTGCGCATCTCCCTCGTAAGGGCCACATGCCTTGCCCATCTGCAGGCGGGCATCGAAACAGCAATTAATCGGTCGTGGCGATGCTACATAGTGATGATTGGCCGTGGTAACCCACTTCGTCGACGGAGACCCGTTGCTCTTCTTTCAGCCAGTGCTATTGGGTGGTGGGCGCTCATGTTTTTTCCACGTACCGTACGAGGAGTTCACAATAACTCGGGTGTCATAGCGTTCATGATCACTTGATTCGGGTACATATCTGAATTGTTTCCATGGCGGCACGGTCCGCATTGTTTTGCGTTATGTGCATGGTATGCGCTCGACTTGCGATTGAAAATGCCAGAGCAACACCGGCGCCCTCGTCTTGGTCGCATTTGCTTCCCAGGATGCTTGCATGCCTCGAATACCCTAGTCGAAACGGGCACACCCAACACCACCATTTCCGCATTTTGAGGCAGTGAAACAACAAACCTCTTTGCACGCCTGTTGCACCTACCTCTGCAAGGTCGTCCGCAGGAAGTGCTGCCGCTGCGACTCTTCACTCCAGAGGAGGAACCTCTTTCCAAGGAGGGTCCTACGGTAGTGTGCCGAAGCGGCAGTTTTCTTGCGTTGCCCTTCCTCCAAGTTTGCCGCTAGACAGTACCTGGATACCGAACGACAGCCGTTCCGTTGTTCTGTAGCAAGAAGGTGGTGGTGGCCGTAGTGGCGTAGTAGTAGTGGATCAATGCGTTTCCCACAAACAAAGCAACAGGAAAATTGTAACGGAGACAAAAAAGAAATTTCGACAGTCCGTAACCTTTGACTTTCACACGTCTCAACACTCACAATGCTACTAGGTTATATACGAAATACGAACAGTAAATGGGTGCCTCAATCACGCACCACGCTTGTCGAGCCATCATGCTTCGGTTGTCGCGCGCAACCGTGCACCGCCACGCCACCCAGGCGCCCCTCAACAGGGTCGTGGTCAGGACGTCGCGCAACGCCCGCGCCGCCACCCGCTCAGCGTGCCAGGCCGAGAGGCGGTGAAAAGCCAAGTGCTGCAGCCACGCGCGGCGGAGAACGCGCATAGCGCGCTCGACCCCCCAGCTTGAATTGTGCTTGACGGTGTTGTTATCGTCAGAACGTGATTAACAGTGACACACAACCGTTAGATGGGGCGGGTTGCAACGTCGCGTTGAAGACGAGAAGGTAGGAGGTAGGGGGTGTGGAGACGTGGAAACTATTGGGACACTTCTCGTCGAGAGTCGTTTTTTCGGGTACTCTACCCGAGAGCACTGCTTGCAGCACACACACGTCCAAACTCCACTACCTCCAAACCCTTCCTCTCTCTACGCCTGTTTCCTACTCTCGACACCTGCTGGATTCGACGAGATGAGACAAAACAATAAGCACACCTATGCGAAACCCGCTACATCGCGTTGTGCGGCAAGTGAAGGTTGCAGGGGAATAGTGCAAGGCTCATCAAGGACTCTTTCCCGGCAGCCGAAGCTAGCACAGGGTCGAGGATATGCAGGCACGAGTTGCAAGAAAGCCCTCGCCTTACACGCGGTTTGTCAAGCGCTTCCTGCGACTTGCCGCCCACATCACGGTGCGTGTCCTTTATTCTTGACAAGAAAAACGCCTACTTCGGCAAGACGAAACTCGACGTTCGCTCCGTTCCCGATCTTGCAAGGACGTGACAAACAAGTCGTGCTATTACACACTTAGCTTATCCATGCGAAAAAGAAGAATGTCCTGCTGTTCCCGGCACCTTCAAGCATGCGTACGCTACCTCAACCAACAGGTATCAACGCTTCCCGATCCAAAGCCCCACGTCCACCCACCTGGCAAAGGAGCACGAAGAGCTTCCACCGCTCGAAGCACCCAACCCGCCGACTCTCTTCATCCCTCCGTGCCCGAGTAGCTTCGATCCACCTAGAAAAGCCGGCCGCCCTCAACTTCGCGTCCCCCCGCCTCAGCTGGCGGGCGACGCGAGCACCTTTCCGCCTCGTCAGGGCTCGGTCAGCATGCAGCTGACGGGTCAGCAGGCCCCACGCCGTCAGGGCCTTGTGCAGGTTGTCTCGACGGCGCATGTCGAGGAGGAGGAAGGTCTTGGGCCGGAGGAGCGTGCGGGGCAGCGGGGCGCGGGTTCTCCTCCAGCGGTCGAGGTAGCCGGCGAGGAGTCGAGTCCTGAAAAGAATGGTTGGCGGGGCCGAAACACCGAGGAAGCGACATGAGCAGCAAGGGTGCCGTGGAACGTAGTGCCTTTACTTCCACATTTAGTGTATTTGAGTGAATGCGTGGTAGATGTGTGAACGTGCACTTCAATGTACCGCCCCTACCGGGGGTAGGCTGTACCACCCGTGTTGAGCGGTTTTCGAACAATGCATCAACAAATGTAGCTTGATAGAAAGTGTCATGAATACCTAACGGTTTGGGGCATCTAGATGCGACTCATTATTGCGTAGGCCGTCTTGTGATCCCAGATTGCAAACCGATGCGCCTTGCCAGTTCTTGAATGAAATTGAAAGAGAGCGTGGCATGCCTTCTCTTTCAACATGAACAGGTCGATTCGTGCAGGCACGCTACTTGAATTCTCAAACACATTGAAAACACAAATCCGCGAAAAAAGCACGTGCCTCTTTGCAGATTGACCTCTCCCACGCCTCTGTCATTCCCTATCTGCATGCCCAAGGACTGTCTGGAGGAGAGGACCTTCCCCGTTACCTTACGCTCCTGGCTAGATGTTCAAGTACCGCCGCGAGGATAAGCCCCGATCTTTCCGCCGAACGCCTGCAGTGCCAGCGGTCGACGAAGGCATCTACCCGAGCGTGCCCGTCGTTAGTCAGAGACCCGGACAAGAACACCCCCTGGTTGATCGCACCGGCCCTCGCGAGGCGAAGGCTGGCCATGAAGTTGGGGGTTGGGTGGGACGGCCTCCCCTGCTTGTGATTGGAGCAGGTAAATGTCTGCTCTCGAACCGTGTGACAGGTACGTGAAGCGGATTAAGTAGATATTTACCCGAGGCAACAAGTGGAGGGCTTGTGTGTGAATTTTCTGTGCTTGACTTACGCGTCTTTTTCGTTTGGTACTCGCAGGGCATCCGTCAAAAACCAGGCTGCGTTCGAGTTACACAAACATGCTTGTTTTGAAACACTCTACAACACGTCTTGACTCGCCCCTAGTGTTGAGAAACAAGCAATAGACTTCAAGGCCTCTCTTTAGTTTCAGGGTCTGAACATGCGAAGACAGCATCATGATGGTCGGGAAAAAGCATGACTTCCCCGACGATGGCACGGCCAATTAGTCTAGACCACATTTTGTGTACATATCACGTATTGCCAGTATGAAATGATGGGAAACGAAAGCTCTCAGTCGGTGCTCGAGCAGCAGGTGGGCTCGTCGTTTCGGTATGCACTGACCACTGCAACTGTACTCCAGTTCACGACACAGCTCGTACGAAATTACGAAACACATACAAATCGGACTCTCTACCCACACTGTAGACTGCCATGTCCTTCGTACATGCGTCTGCCACAAGAACTACAGTAACACGGCAGAGGCCAGCGTAGGGCACACACATATTGTAGAGACCGGTGCACCAACAGGTTGAAACGTGCGTTTCAAGGTAGGGAATGGACCGTCAGACCAACATGCGAGCGATATGTAGTGATACAGCCAGTCTAGTGCGTGTCGGTAGCACTACGGGTGACCCTCACCATGTACTGCTGTGATACACGAAGACTTTGAATGGCGTCGGCCTGGCATCCTCTTCAACGATATTTGATTACGCAGTCTTACAGCCAAAATCGCGCAACAGATTCTCCACGTAGGCCTGTCTCCTCACCATGGAGCTCTTTTCATCATCCCAGTCATCTCTTGGCGCGCCTGCTGCTTCCCAAGCAGACGCCGTCGTCCATGCGGGAGGTCGGAGGAACGTCCGCACGACTCCGTCCCTCGCAAGATATCGATCGTCGGCATGGTTGTGTTCTCGCAGAACTCGTACGATGCATGTACTCCCATAGTGTGTCATCGTACTCCTCTGCGCCAAGCAGCAGCAGTCTATGTAAGATAGTATCTTGGCGTGTGCCCAGATGTCCCTACAACGACTCCTAGATTGCGTGGGTGGATACGTGGATATACGTGAAGTTATAGCAGTGCCGATTTTGGTGTCGATTCGGTGGGCTCTTGGCCTGTAGGGTTTGTGTTTTGATTACGGTGTCAGCGTCTACCTGTAGGACCACGATAATACTACATTCACGCAAACAATGATCATACTCATTGACTGCTCTTGTCGGCTATCGGGTGGAAGACCCCACCCGCTACTTGTTGGAGGGTGAAATTACACGAACACGGATAGACGGATTGACGGGTGGATGGGTAGACTAGACTACTAGTAGTCTACACTAGGGATGAACACTAGATGAACATGCATTGATGTGCCGGTTCGGGTAAATTTTTATTTGCACCGCATAGACTATAGACTATAGACTAGCTAGTGTTGACCTACAGCAGAGCAGCAGAGTAGCACGTGTGCGGCACCTGTCTATGAGATGCACATAAGAGCCCAACCCTCTTCTCTCTATTGATGATGTTTGTGCGTGGTGTCGACGTTACCATGCCTATGTTCGATAAAGTTACACAATTAGACTAGTCAGCGGCTGACTAGTCTAATTGTGTAACTTTGTCGAATAAAAGATATACGCTCAGCTCGCTAGCACCCGGCTGGATCACATTTTTGGAGTTTACGGCTTGGATCTCCGGGGACGGACCCCTCGCCAGGCGCTGACTGCACAAAACATAATGGTGCTTGGGAAAGTGAGTAGCCGGGATTCGAACCCGTCCGTGAAACTTTTGTCGCCAATTGTAAACCATTTGTATATTATTATTATATATATATATAGTCTAATAGTAGCGCCTGGCGAGGGGTCTGTCCCCGGAGATCCAAGCCATAAACCCCAAAAATGTGATCCAGCCGGGTGCTATCGAGCTGAGCGTATATCTTTTATCCGATGAAGTTACACAATTAGACTAGTCAGCGCTGACTAGTCTAATTGTGTAACTTTATCGAATAGCCTGACTATGCAGTTGGCGCCCGCAGTTAAGAAACGCTTATTTCAGGTCCAGCCTCGAATTCTTATTGTGGGCTATATACTCAGCGTATGTCGTTCAGTTTCTATTTTCAAGTTTCTTATTTTTCGTGCAGCCAAATCCTGCTGAATTTCTTAAATCGGCAATTTCTTNGCCTGACTATGCAGTTGGCGCCCGCAGTTAAGAAACGCTTATTTCAGGTCCAGCCTCGAATTCTTATTGTGGGCTATATACTCAGCGTATGTCGTTCAGTTTCTATTTTCAAGTTTCTTATTTTTCGTGCAGCCAAATCCTGCTGAATTTCTTAAATCGGCAATTTCTTATTTCTCTGCTTGCATACTACACAACGTTCCAAATATACAAATGATGTGTACTGCTTTCCTCGACCCCGTACTCAACCCCGATTCTCACCACCGACGGCTGCACGTAAGGCCAATCCCTAGAGGCGAAATGTATCCAGCGGCAACGTCTCGCTTTCGCGACAAGGTCCTGTACCCCCATCATGAGTGAGGGCTGAATCTAAACAAATGCATAAACACCGCATGATGCCTCACCCGCACGCTGAATTTGTTGTTGTTGTTGTTGTCTTCACATTAAAAACCATCCCGGTCTCTCTATCCAGTACCTCCTTCTGTCTCAATCTCTCCGTACTAATCCAGCACTTGACTCGGTCAATTTCCGTGGTCACAGGCTAACGTACCTAGAAAAGGTATACCAAAATAAATGGACCCCAAGGGTTAGCAGAGCGATAAAATACAAGAAAACAAAAGAATCAGAAACAAATAAATAAATAAATAGTGGAACGTGCGCATCACCAGCCTGGGGGGTAGCCTTCCGGAAGGACCCCAAGGGTCAACAGTATGTGCCAGTAAAAAAACAAAACAAAAACGAAATAAACCAAAGACAGACGAGGACATAAACAAACTCGCACAGAGACAGGGATATCCGTAGAGACAGTCTGAACGCGACAGCAAACGGGGGAGAGGGCAACAGAAAAACTAGTCGCTGAAATTCAACCGCAACATGTCACGTCACGCGGTCGGTCTCTTCTCGCTTGCTTTCTTCCCGCGCCGTTTCCTCCCGCCCCCCTCCCGCCCCGTTGATTGGTGCCGTATCTAGACT